CGATTTGAAAAAGTTAGTAATAAGTAATAACAATTGATTTATCAATATAAATAATTTTAAAAAATGATCCAAGTATAATAAATATATTTTAATAATTCAGAAACTACTCATTGAAATTTTGATTAAGACACATAAACATTTTCGAGAAAATCATCAGCTTAAAAATTTTAAGTAAAAAATTGGGTTCTCAGATGAAAAATAGAAATTTATACCGCCACAAAACACCGCTTAAGTAGGACTTAAGTATCAGGCATTTTCAAATATGGTCCTAACGTAAATTTAAAAATTCTTAAAATCAGAATTCGAATCAAAGAACTATTAATGGAAAAAATGGAGGTGACCATGTTTAAAAAATCACCCTATACATATATATATATATATATATATACTAAACTCCTGGTTCACCGAAATTCCACCGAACGTTTTGAACGCACAATTTCCAAAGATCAGAACTCCTTTGACATTTTTATTTAACCGTGCGCTGCAGATGTTGCTGAGGGGACTTTAATCGCTGTTCTATACTTTCAGATATTATACGCATACAAGACTTAAACGTTCTATAAATTTATGCATTTTTATCCACCGATGGCGAACAGCTGTTATACTTAACTTCACATCCCATTCCTCACTGCCCGCCTACAAAAAAAGAAAAACGAGAAATTAAGAACACGTCAGAGAGCGAGCGAGTTTGCATCTTATAAAATGTCGTTTAAAACGTTCGGTCAGTTTTTGTATTGCACTTTTATAATATTATATGGGTCATTAATAACGACAGTTGATTTCGATATATTTTCAACGCGGCGTTCTGACACAGCTGGTGTACCCTAGCTGTATGCATTTACTTTTAATAGGATTGCACAATAATTTTACATACAGCGCGCGTACAGTTGGTTTATTTTCCCATATAACATGGCGATCGGTTTTAAATCCGACCTTCGCCGTCTCTGTGAACAAATCAAATTTATTCCGGATAAAAGCGTACGGTTCTTCGACACGACGAGATGCTTCCTCGAAACTCCAGATAGTGAGATGCCTATACAGACTGTCGCAGTATAGGTGTTCACTTTTTAACTAAACCCATCACTCGCGTTTCTCGAAAATCTGCCTACAATGTTATGACGTGCCGTGCCGTTTTTTTTGCGGTTGCGCCGAGTCGTTACATTATTGTTTTATTATTATTATTTAAAATAGACGTTTAACGAACGTTTTAAAAGGGGAAAAAAAAATTGAAAAAAACTACCGTTGCGAGCTCGTGACGGTAATACGCTCCATTTTATACACGCTGCAGCGTTTATTACGAGTTTATTATACATTATGCTACACCTAATATCGTTATGACACGGCTACGGTGTACCTACGCGCGTAATTCGAATCGTATTGATTTTTTTTCTCTTCCACATACGATATCGTTATATTCGGATGCGGTTATTGCGTTAGGTACGTCGCCGCCGTAATATTACCATATATATATAATATTATATACGCTTCGGGATAACGATAAAGTACGAACACACACGCTGCTGTACGGTCTCCGATTATATAACAATAATAATAATATAATATTTTTTTGCACCCTCGACGATGACTATAATAATAATAATATGCCAATAATGTGCTCGCCAGCTCCGACACAGACGCAGACAAGTCGTTTCGATATCGCCCGAACGAATAATATGAATGATAAAATAATATTTAATTTTTTGCGCACAGTAATATTTTAATAGCCACCTCACAAAAAATATACGCTCCTATGGTATGCGAACGGATCGTGCCATAATATCATTATCTTTCATATATTAAATTATTTTGCACTCTGGTGCGACCGGTGGTCACTGTCCACTGTATAATAATAATATATATTATTTATATATCAGCTAACGATTGCCCTTCGAAATCACTGCATTTAATGACCCATTCGTGTGTGCATAGGCGTCCAACAACAACAACTGTTGTCCCATTTAAATTAATTTATATATATATATATATAACACGGTGTATATGTCTAATGCGTTGGTATTATATTATTAATATCTTTGGGGCTCGGGACGATTTGACGGTGGCCAATGCATATCGTTGCACGGTTGCACATTCAGCATATTATATTGTATACAGCGTGATTTCTCAAACGCGATCACTCCACTCCTTTTTTTTCATTTAATACCTGATGAACTTATTGAAATTTTTAAATATACGTAAATACATTGTAATATTTTTAAATTCTTGAGATTTTTTATGCTAATTAAGGAGTGCCCTATGGTGATACGAACCCTGCGTATATGGATATAAATATTTATATTATGGTTTATTGCTTTTCGTAACCAAATTTCGATTTGAAACTGAGAAAAAATATATCTCCATATAGAATCGCGCGCGATAAAAATCATTTTTATAGGAAGGAAGAAACACTGTTTTTTATCGCAGACTGTACCAAATCGCAAGGTGGTGAATACGATCATTATCTATTCATTGTTACCCATTTAATGTTTGCATACAGTCATTCTGCAAATGAAGCAATACGCATTTTAACACATAAACAATTATTGTAAAAAGCAAATCGATAATGATTCCATTCTGAGAATGCACAAATACATTTATTCTAACGAACCAACAAGTCGGTGGCATGTCTATTGACGCTTTTACTTGTAAAAATCTTGCACATTTTATTAAGGTTATTTTTTATTGTCCATATAGAAGTCCCGAGCCCCACACGGGTAGGTAACATTAACCCAGTGGCGTACTCTCGTCATCGAGTATATTATATTATACCTATATGCCTACACACTGGGTTATTGGGTATATCATTATTAATTTATAGCATGATTTTATCGATACCATATAAAATTATATAGTTTATAGAAGTCATGAAACGCAACCGTCATAATACCTCTATATATTGTAACGACCGTTTATTATTTTTGTTTTTTTTTTCCATTATTATTATAAATCAATCACTTTAAAACATGATAACATACTGCTCCATGTTAATATAAATCATTATTTACAATAAAATTCTTCCATATTATTTTTATTATACATTATACCGTAGTGTCATTTGACTCATGCCTATAACATATTATTATATACATCATATAATATACCATTGTACATGTCGTAGAGTTTTATTTTACCCCCATCCGCATGGCCAAATAAAATATGTGATCACAATATTCAACACACTCCCCCCCCCTCTCCACACCAAACACGTGAAATTCGACTGAAAATGAATAATTTCAAACAAACGCGACGTAGGCCTATTCCGCACCCAAAATGTATAGAATACACCCTCTATGGCTGTTATGATATAATGATGATAATAATAATATATTATAATAAGCGTATGTCGTACCGTCATCGTATTTGAAAAAAAAAAAATAAAAAAAATAAAAAAATATCATCATATATACGAGCGGCGATGTGTGACTACCAAAACTAGTGTGTGACGTATATTCTTTGTCATGTGACTATATGTACATGTTTTATATATATATATGTGTGTGTATATATGTATGTATATTTAAAATATATATATTATTTTAATATATAATATTATAAATATAGATGTATGTATGTACGTATATACATATATTATATTGAACCATCTATCGCCTCTTCCACATTGTGTTATATTGTTATATTACAACTGTCTGCTTTGACTTGTGTCTGGCCACACCCGTGTGACCCACCGCTCTCTATCACTCTATAAAATATATTATTACATGTACGTGGTACATAACTCTTTCTCTATCCCCTTTGATCTTTCAGCCTCTCTTTCCTTCTCTATATATATATATATATTATCTCTCTCTCTCTCTCTCTCTCTCTTAATATTAGATTAATGTGTTTTTGTCTTGTTTTTTTTTTTTTTTTTTTTTNTTTTTTTTTTTTTTTTTATTATTCGTATTTCTTATACCTATTCTTCTTGGTTTTTTGAGCCTTTACCAAAACACAAATTTGATGTGTCTCTCTCTATTATATGTGTGACTCTATTGGCAGTGCTCTTCGAACCGGTCCCGACGACTCGCGCGTTGTATACCTATACTTACCTAGATTATACACATTCTGCATAATATACGTACCTAACTCACCTAGACTTATAACTACGCGAAATTATAGTTACATTACTGTTATAATAATATTATTATTATAACGCTACTGCCCGCGTGTGTGCTGTGTTACGCGTTTTTTTTTACAACACACACACTGATATTTGCTATTTATTATTACTATATACATACAATTTATGTAATATGCGTATATATATATAATAATAACTATATCAAACAAAAACGATTACAATATTATCGTTATTATATCAAATTGTTATTTAGTATACACCACCCGCGTGTAAGCAATATTATCAATGTATGATGTATACATGTCAATAATATACTCAATTGCGTAAGAAAAAATTGTAAATACGTACCTATTTAAAAACCGTCGCAAACGCTGTAAATAAAAATGTAAACCATTCGGTAACGGAAAGTTGTAAATACCACATATCGCTTGGCATGCGCACTTTTGCACGTTTTTTACCTATTGCTTTTACCTGTCTTATACTGTTCTATCTATGTACATGATATTATATTATATCGATTGTATATCGTAATAACAACCTGTATATTATAATATACTGTATATACACTATATACATATATATAATATATATATATATATATAATATATATATATATACATACGTATCTATTATTACGTCTAATACGTAGAATTATGCATGAGTACGCTTTTTGTGATGCACGTATATAAAATTAAATGTAATAATTTTTATATTGTTCTAACAGTCGATTTTTCTTCTAACTGACATTATTATAATATATTATTATCTATTATAATTATGGTTAACACATCTAAAAAAAAAAAAAAATACATATAATGTTAATAATACAAACCGCTTTTATAATTTAACCACATAATCTTATTATATACTACTGCACACGTATTTTATACGATTGACTTACGCATGTCGTTTTTTTCCCGTCTAGACAAGTTGGACAGCTCGTTCTCCAGATCGCGGAGTTCTAGCATGTCGAGCTTAGACAACATCACCACGGAGTCGATACAGTGTTTGACGTTCGGCGATTCGTACACGAAGAAATCCGGTACCTACCTAATGAGTTTTTCGAGTACCTTCTCATAATATCCTTAACCGTACCGCGCTTGCCATTGCGCGGTTTCCTCGTCATCCTGCCGTTCCCGTCCAAAGCTTTCCTCCGTTAATTCATATATTTATATATATATTATTACATTGCTAACTCTATGTATAATTTTCGCATTTTTCTTTACACTCTCGTTTCAGATCCGTCTAACTTCCCGACCCTCTGGATAGGCACCAGCGTGGGATCGGTGCTCACCATAATGATCAATCTACCACCCTCCGGAGAGCCCAGGACCACGCAGCCCGTAACCGTCGCCCCTTGTGGTGAGTTTTTTTCCCCCTCTCTCACCACCAGGCTAAGAGTACGGATTCACTTTGAAAATATCAACGATTTTCGTCAACGGACGAAAATCGTATTTTCATATCTTTTTTTTGTTTAGCTTTTGGTCTGTGTACTATTCATTTCCGGCAACGTCATCCGTATGTAGGTCATTAGATTCGTCCCGGATAATTTTCTGATTAAATTAAAACGGAAAAAACGACAAATATAATAATATGCGCTCCGTAATCTGATTACATCGTTCGTCGTATACGTATAATTGTCGAGCGACTTTTAATGCTCCGAATGACGCGAATAATGTTCTGGTGCTTTTTTTTTTCTTCTGCGCTGTTTTTGTGATCGTATTTACAAGCAGCACTAGAGACTTTAAATACCATTTATTGCATATAATATACAAATAGGACGTACCGCTGGAAAATATAAATGTATACATAATATATACTAAACATAATACAGCCGTGTATTATTATATTTATATATTATGTTAATCCGTCCAGACAAACGCACAATTTAAATCTCGATTTTTATTTCGCTCGTTCCAAATGTATTATAATATTTTGCAATCTGTTTCAATAGGTTTTGCATATTTTAAAAACGTTTAATTGGTAATTTCAACTCGCTGTTTTTATATTCACAGATAACTGAGACGTATCGCATACAAATATACAATGGATTAAAGATATTATAATTTATCATGTTTAACATTCCATTTCTTTACGTCTTACTTTATTTTTGAGTAAAAAAAAAAAAAATAATAAAAATAAAAACCTAAGACTTATTTCAAATACCTAAAACGTTATTTACAAAATTAATTACTCTAAAAACTTTCTTTTTGAAATTACTTTTTAGGTTCACTGAACCAAATGAATACTTGTATAGAATTTTAAATTCTTTGAACCTTTTAAAAACAAAAAAGCTTCATCAACTCGATCACAAAACTAACGTAGTAAAGTCTCTAATTCTACAATTATGTAGGCATTTTAATAATTACTGTATTATTGCTTTTAACTTGTGCATATAAATAATAAATCTAATGTATTATATTTTTATAGGACATTTTTTGATTTTCTTAATGCGTACTTAATTAAAAATCGTAAATTAAGAATATAAAATGAAAACGGTTATTGAGTACATTCGTTATACTCGCACGACGCACAATATTTAATTAAACGATAAACACTAAGCTTGCAGATTTTATCGAACAATATGAATATAAAACACATAATGCAAAAGTGTAATAATAACATCGAAAAGCGTACGCACTTAAAACGGCGTAAATAAAAATAACAACACAATTTAAAAATAAAAACTGCGTCGGGCGGTAATTTTTCATTTAGACCGTTGAAAAGTTCAGCAAATATATTCACACTAAAGCGCGATCGCGGAGCTGCGACGATCGAACTATAAAAACACGTGACACAATCAGGACGAAAATTATTTTCAAATGATAGCTGATTAATCTAAAAATTTGTATATCATACGTTTTAAATCATTTAATATGATGTGATATTTATGCGAGTGGAATAGATGATGATTGTTTGTATAAATATTGTGGCCTGATCGGGTGCTTAAGTTCGAAGATTAATCGTGTCGGCAAACAGACCATATACGACTATTTGTAATCGTCCTTACATCAGTCAATCTGTTGTATCGCTATAGGGTCTTCCGCAGACGCCACGCTGAAAGAGTACTTTACACATAAACTTAAAATCCTTTCATACAGCCGCGCAATAGATACATTCATTATTCATAAGACTATATACACGGCCAAAGTCATTTATTGCCAAAAGTGTTATACAATAAAACGATAATTTATTAATATTATGTTATAGTGTGATATAGGTAATACTGCTGAAATTGCAATGTATAAAATATTTTAGCGTTCGCTTTGACATAATATATATTTTGAGAAAAACTAGCGTTTTCTCTGGGCCGCGTTCCCAGCATATTCAATGTGCTACACTCTTTTCCTCAGTATATTGTATATTATAATATGTATTAAAATGTAAATTGTAGTGACGTTTTTACAATTTTTCATAATTTTGCAGTAAAATTATACTTCGTTTTCGGTATGATTGATTTTAAAAACACTGCTACAATAAATGTAATGGGTATTTGCGTGACTAACAGTGTGAAAACATTTTTTTTTTCTAATCACGAAAATCTACTTAAGGAAATGAGTGTGTACCACTCAGATGTAAACGGATCGCACTACATGTACACATTTCGACCGCTTATGCGTACTCGGTTTGTATAGATACGGCGCCGTTCGTCTCGAATACACAAACCACTATACGAATTTACGGCAGACATTTCGTTTTACGTTCCGATTTACATAAACCTATATCGATATCCAAGGTGCAATAATATACATATACGCTTTGGTCCGTTCCTAACCCAACCGTACTCGTAGTCATCCATGTATAACCCTGTACCACACTTTAGGTTATTACCCCGTTGAACCACTTTTATCCGTACGGGGTGTACGGATATACGTATAAATTGTTTTGATAAAGAAAACCGTTGCGACGTTTCTATAAAGAATAGTATTTTAATCTTTCTGTTTTTTTTGTTTTTTATTGTGATCTTTCGCGCAGGTACGATATTCAGACTGAAGGGCGGAGTGCTTACCATGTCGTTCCTGGACTGCAACGGCGCATTAATACCCTACGCGTACGAAGCGTGGAGAGACGAGGGCCGAGACAAACAAAGTAAACGCCGTTCATCATATATTAATATTGTATTTTACCAAATGGTCGCTCGTCGCCCGAGATCGTGGCGCGCGGTTTTATTAACATTAAATCATCGCCCGACCTAACCCAACGGAACCCGACCTGACCCGACCCGACCTATGTGCTCGTATATAGATCGTTTCGGGGTTTTTTTTTTTCATAAATTTTTGCGGTCCGACTTAACCGACGATAATTTATTATATACCTAAGCGATTACAATAATAACCCGGTCGTGTTGCAGAAACGCCGACCAAAAACTCGAGCGGGCTGAACCGCATGTCGCCGGCGCTGACGGGGAGCTCGGAGAGCGTGTCCAGCAACCCCGGTGGAGGCGGCGGCGGCGTCGGCGGTTCGGGCGTCGCGCAGCTCCAGCAACAGTCGCAGGTGTCGTGCGACCGACAGTTCGTGACCATCGTCAGCGAGAAACAGGTCAGGGTGGTGGCCCTTCCGTCGCAGAACTGCGTCTCCAAACATGTGATACCCGACGCCGACTTCATGGTCAAATCCGAAGTCATATCCATGAAAGGTAATCCCGCCGACAGGTATCCGTCTACGGTAGGGTGGGGGAGGTAGGTTCCTTCCAAACAAAAAAAAAACAGTCCGACAGAGAGACGAACAGCTGCAGCGTAATGATCGTTGTCGATTTGAAACGTGAACGGGAGACGTTATGCATTCATCACCTCGGCTCTGGGGTAAATTTACATTTTTTTTAGTTCGGTCATATTTCTACGTAAGTACGTGATTTCGCGTATACGTATCGATCTCGTTGCTGTGCGTACACAAATAGCTGGCGATGCGATTCGATGGCTCTTCTATTTTTTTTGTTTTCCCACGTCAAACTATATATATAATATAAATATAGGCACCTATATATTATTATATTGGCAACATATTATTATTGCCATACCGTATATCCGGTGGGAGGGTTAACTCCCCGAAAGTGTGGAATTCAATTTCAAGTTTTCAATATTAAAGTTTATACGCAATAGCGCGCGGTTTTTATTCTACAAATCCTCCCCGAAAGTCCTTTTTTCTCTTTTCTAGACACGGTTTTGTGTTGCTGGTATCTATAAATATCTGACAGCTATAGTATACTTGGGGAAAAAAAATACTTGAATACGTATAAATATATTATATGACGATAAATTGATCTTCTGGTTGAACATTCTTCCATACGACCTGCTGCAGCTGCAGTCGCATACACGTCATCAGCTATCGTGGATTGCAGATTTCAACTCTCTTATCACGTCTCAAACTGTAAAAATAGCTAAATCTCGACCTAATCTAATATTATGCGTACCTATATGCTTGCACGCTTCCTGACTCGATAAATTTATTGCCGTTTTGCAGATAGCGTATGCCTGGCGTGTTACATATCCAACGGCCACATAAACATCTACAGCCTGCCGAGTCTCAAGGTGCTGGTGGACGTAGACTTCCTGGCGCTCTCCGATCTGAGGTAGGTACCTGCTGACAGCCACGACGTTATCGTTGCGCGCTCATTTTATTTTTCCTTTCCCTTTCTGTTTCTATTTTTGTGTTTGCGATAGGCACGTTTCTTGGAGAGACGCGAGTCTCCCGCGTAGTACTAGACGTACATTAAATAATAAACCGTATATTAAAAAACGCGTAGGTACTCATATCATATAATAATACATCGTCGTCGGGCCCGGCTTGAGGGGTACTATATGTACGCGGTACGAGGGTGACATTTTTTGTTTGGACTTATAAATATATTTCATCACGAACGTGATGGTGTCTGTCGGGTGGGGTAAAATCAAATGGCGTTTTATATCGCAGAGCCAGGCCCGATCGTGGTGTACGATATACGATTATAATATTACATACATATTTCGCAGTGTAGGTACCTTTAATATATATACGTATGTGTAAGGCAGATGTGTTTCTCGGCGCTCTGCGAATTTTCGACGTTGGTTGTACATTTTAAACGCGATAATGTTATTATATGTGTATACACGCGGTCGTATGTCATTTTTCTCGAAATTAATAAAATGCCATCCCGTTGAAAAATCGGTTTCGGAAACAGATTAAGCGTAGTTTCAATTTCCTGCTTTTTACTCGGCCAAGGAGAGAAAAAATCGATGCTTAAGAAATTACTACAGCCCGGGTAGTATATATATATTTATTTATTTTTCGTTTGGTGCTGAAATGGCATTACGCCAAGTCGACCGCGTCGAAATGACCTTGTTCGTTTCACTCTCTGCGAATATCATTACTTAGTATTTTTAAGGTAAAGATATCGTATAGATAAGAGTATTATACGTGTACTATTATATGATATCGTCCGTGGTTATAAAATGTGAAGTGTTTTTTTTAAATTTTTATTCGATTTTCTCATCCTCGTATATACCGTAGTTTTATATTTCTCCCAAATTAGTTACCATTTTTAGAACGACTTCGATGTTAAATATTTCAAGTTTACCAACATACTATATTGTGGTTGAAGACAAACGGCATAAATGTAATATTGTATATTATTTAAATGTGTCAATTAACGTGTCAATTCAAATACGTTTTATACGTACCAAAAACGGATTGCAGGGTATCTACTAATTTTTATTTTTTCTCGTGAATCCTATTGGACATGTTGTTATTATTATTATTATTACGTGCATAAATATCATGTAATAATAATAATATTATTGTATAAAATCGTGTACAGTACTTTTATGATATTATCATAACAACATCAAACACAATAAATTATGTGAGTGTGATAGTTATTTTTTGATAAATTTTAGTACTTATTGAATATAATATAATTATTATGGTCAGCTTTTCTTTGAGACGGTCATATTGTGTGAAATTTACCATGACCGTCTGTGAACTGTAGAATTATTTTTAAAAAAAAATACTTAACCATTTGGTTATTTTTCGCCTCGGACAATGTGTTTATTAGTGTTTATTATCTCTATGGTTTGTATTGTGGCCAGTTTTCAGACCCAGAAACAGGGCATAGTTGACCCAATGTTATCCATATGGGGCCAACAGATGTTTGTCAATGAAGACACTGACCAGTAAGTCGTGAACACTAGGAACGCCATACAACATCACACACCACACACACACACACACACACACACACACACACACACACACACACACACACTCATACAGACAGAACACACATTATACATGTCAGTGTATATAATATAGAGACACGAGCTGTTAGACGGACAATATTATAAGACTAACTAGTAAATGTGCATAAATTAAATGTAATTTGATAAGTTCTTAAACATTTTTTGATTTACCACGAATAACAATAACCATTTTACCCGATCGACTTTTTTAACACTAGACAAAGTCAAATCGAATTCTAACGCGACAAAAATATCAATTTAATTATGTTTGTAAAATCGATTTATCTATAATATAAATACAACTAGGGCGTACATACATAAATATTGTTAGCATCCCCTTCAACGCCTCTTTTATTTTACATCACACAACTTTAATATTTCAATTGTTCCGTTCCAGTGACCCGATGGTTTTGATTTTATCAATAGTGTTATTGCATTCTCGACGACGAGTATAGGTACCTATATAGTATACATGTACGTGTATGTATATTGTATATACTTCAATGCCTATTTACTTGTGTCTTGTATACAACACTTTTAAAATAAAATTTATTATTTTCACTGAATTCGATTTTAAAACAGAATACTTTTGCAAGCGTTATACATTTATAATATCGTCTGGAATTTGTAGCCCGTAAATTCTACGTCAATGTTACACATTGATTTTTATTTTTATTTTTTTTCTTAACTATACTCGACGATTTCATTTCTTAATACAGTTGCTACACCTTCTAGATTATTCATACGTCAATAGGTATTATATTTACAATACCCATGAATTTCGTTTGTCTTGCGAGTTTAATTCGAACTTTGAACCTGAATATACATTTCACTGCGTAGAAACCTTATTCGGTGAATAAAGTTACGATGCTTATCATTTAATGACGACTAGCGTATATATTATCCAAAAAGTTTTCATACCACGCGTAATATACCCATACCCATACCCCGAACCGTATTATTACAAACATCAAAGTTTTGAAATAATATTAAAATGTTCACAGTTCACTATATATATATAAATGTATGAAAAAAGAAAATGATTTCATGTCCGTGTCATTAATGTAATAAACCACTGCAATCTAATATAATTTGAGGGAGGTATTTTCTTGACAGCACATACGAGATATACAAGTTACATAAAAATGAACCGATTTATATATACTATATACAAATATATATATTATATACTGTACAGTGTAATCTTGGGAGACATCTTGATATTACAACCTTTTTGTTGACCAAGCCATCACGGACACTCGTACCGCGCGTGATACATCGCCACAATAACGTACAAACATTATATAATATACAACCTATAACTACAGTATACACCCCCAAGTATACGTCTAACGGCTCGGACCTGACACAAATGTACAGTAACACACTTGCACTTAGATCTTTTCTGGTTTTGATTTACCTTCAGATTTACCCTTGACCTACCTACCTAGCTATACCATCTCCTTTGGCATGGATACCTAACCCAATAACTCCGTCCCATCCAACGGCTCGCGCCCAAGTGAACGTATACCTTATATTATATTATAAATAAAATGCAGCTGCATTATGTAACGCTCGGCTTTTTTGACGACCCTTCACCCCCACCCGTGTACGGCTTTTCCCGTCGTTTTCGTGCATCTGTTCTCGTGTTGTTGATTGAATCCCAGTCCATTTGTATTATACATATACGCTATTTTTGTTTTATATTTTTGAACCGAAATCAAATTATCGTCAGAAGCTTTATAATGCTTCCAGTGCGTTTCAAAAGTCCGAGCGACAACCTTGGACTATATGGATTTTCCGAGATATTCGGAAATCCCGGAAGTTTACTATATATTTGAGAACGCCGGTTCCGGAAATTTCTCGTACATATATATTAAATATTTGACAATGTCCGTTACGGATTATCGCCAGACTGCTGAAACGTACGAATAAATTACAAAAAGAATTTAAAAAGAATCATTATTGATTAATATCATTATTATTACTACTATTATTCTGATCGTGCAGCACGTTAACCCAATGCTTTGATATAACAATTATTTTTTATTTCCATTTTTTATTTTGTTTGCATGAACTTCTCTAACGTGTTTATCTATTACAGAAATATACATATTATATATATATATATATTACCTAGCACTCGACTGTAAATATTGCAACAAGCTATCTGATTTGGTTTTTACTAGGAAACTATATCGCGGCCAAAGTCTAAACGAAACTAGGCTATCATATTATATACAACACCAATCACTCACCCTAACATAAGTCTATAATCTTCTTAGCTATATCTGACATCCTATGTTATATACTTTCAATTCCCGTTAACCTTCAAACTATTATCGTGCACGTCTTCGAAATCCAGAAACTCGTATACAGATCGATATTCAGTCGTTCAACGCGGCAACATTGAAACAATAGTTAACGTGTCTAACCACACGACAATTATATTATAGCTATACATTTCTTACGAGTTTTTGGATACATTGCGAAGACCCTCTATCATTTGCACACCAAACCTATATTTTAGAAAAGCACAATATATATATATGTACAAATACAACGGAACAGGATCAAGGCGCTCCTATTAGTTCTCGCCAAATAGTAAAAAGACTTAACACATATAATAATAATTGTATATATTATATTATATCATATTTGACAAGCTAGACGCATATAAATATCATATTTGTGTACAGTTAAACAAATCAATCGTGTGTGTTCTACTACACAGTATTAGTCATTGTGTCGAGTGTAATTTTGTACAAAGGCCACAACGAAAAATTAGGGTTTTCGTTATTTTTCACCAGATATACTATTATAGTCTATAGCGTCTGTAGAGTTTTTTTTAAATATTTTTTTTTATTTGTTATTCTAATATTAATATTATTTTTTATTATTATTATTATTATTGTTATTATTATTATTATTATTGGACACTGGCAAATGTATAGAGTGTGAATATGTCCCGAGTTAATTTTTTTTATTTAATAATTTTGTTTTGTTATTGTTATTATTATTATTATTATTATTGTTATTTATTATTATTATTTAACATCTTTTATTTATTTTTTCAACTATGTCTTTACGTCATATACGGTCGTTAACGTTTATGTTTGTGTGTGTATTTCTATAGAATCGCCAAGACGTTTTGCTTCAGTAATCGGGGACATGGACTGTTTTTGAACACGCCGTCAGAGGTGCAGAGATTTTCTGTTTCCACCGAATTCTGGTGAGTCGTATTTATTGTGACGGCGTTTTTCCCTTGACATAACACAATATTTAACGGATGTTTTAGCCAAAGTCTACCGGAAATGATGGGTGAACTATTCCAACCACACGAAATGCCCGAACCGCCTAAGCAAAGTTTCTTTATAGGACTGTTTGGAGGTGGCTCTAGATCCATCGACCGTGAAGAACTGTGTATGTAACATTTCCATTAATTAAATACATTTAGAATTACGACACCCACCCCTAAACTTTTACTTTTTAACTCCATTCCCACCAACATACTACCACAAGTCAAATTCTAACGACATATTTTATTATATTAACATATTATATTTTATATTAATGTTACATAATATGTATACTATGTCCTCGTGCCTCGTGGACAATTTTAAATTCCATACTTTAAAAATTGAGTGCACTTTATTGCTCCGAATGATGATGTTGAATTAACGTCGGATATTTTATTTCAATTTTCATAAATCATTTTTATTCTTCTTACCTACTGTGATTAATTATTTTCGTGTGCATGATAGCTTATATACTTATATAGCCTACATACTGATTTGATGGAATTACTTCGTAGATCATTCAACTTCTACATATTTTATATCTACCATATATATAACAAAAAAACCCTTTTCAGTACGGTTCTTAAATTTAATCTCGACCAAACACATATAATTATACATTTCCATCCAATATTCCGATAGTAACTCGGTGGCTTATAAGATTGTTCCGAGTGCGTGAGTCTTGCAGTTAATCTAAAATCGGTGGTTTATTCGCCCCTACGATTTGGATGTTATTTGTTGTGATTTAGATCGGACGTTGTTAAATACATGTAAGTTGTATATATATAACATAACATAGAAACACATAGATTTTTACGAAGGCTATTGTTGTATAATACCTACCTACTGCAAAATCTGTCCCCTCGAAATCCGTGTGTTATAAAAACTTAGCCTGCTGCAACAATACCGATGGCTGAATAATATTGCACGAATCTGTAAGTCGCAATAATATATATATATATATATATATTATGTGAAATTACTCTGATTCGTATCAACTGTGCATGTTGCTTGTAAAATCCCGTATACTTTTTTTCCTTCGATCCATTTATTCTTTCGAGCAATTACTTTTAGAAATTTCTCCGCAGCGGTGGTTTTATTTCCTATTTGCTCTCTTGTCTTCATCAATCACTGTTATACCGTCAGTAACATCATGCACTGTGGTTTCTTTATTTCAGTTTTCTGGGTTAAAACGGAAGGTTCGAATTTATGGACTAAACAATATCGATCAACGTGTGTTTTTTTTTTTATATTCCTTCTCGTCACGATTTTGCGCTGAGAAAACGATCTCTCTCCCTTGTGTTTACTGTATATATATATAGTACATATGCCTATAGACAGATGTCCGGTCTCTCTGAGTAATTTTCCGATGGTCGGTGATTTGACATTTTTGTTGATAATCCAATAGACAATCGACCTAGACACCTATAGTAAACGTTCAAAGTAATTGAACCCGAATCGATTGGAAAATAAATTACATTGATGAAATATATTTTAACAAAAAAAAAAGAGACGCAGTATTATACGTTTAGGTGTATCATTTATCAGATAAAATCGTAAATTTAAAAAAAAAATAACTGTTCTCGGAGCGTTTTAAAAACCGTTTCCCTTTTTCATTATCATCTATCACTATCTATATATTTTATAACATACAATTTATGTATATGACCATAGCGAAATATATTTTCGAAGGGTAGAAGCCAAAATATGACTATCTATTAAACATTTGATACTCCAAAGATGGTTTCGTTTATCCGCTTATATAAATATGTGTGTGTAATAAAGTTTATCGATTGAAAACCATTGTCCTTTAAAAAACATTGCCCCTACCAAACTTAGCTTTTTTATGATTATTATTCATTTGGGTTTTTCGATGTGTGTTTTTGGACAGTCGGTGAGTCTACGAGCGGTAAAGCACCGAAGCTAGTGGCCAAACTCGTACCAGGTCCGTCAGCCCAACTGGACGCGCTGGGAAACCGGGCGAGTACGGCAGCCAGTGAGATATCGAGAGCCCATCTATTGGCCGTGGAACGTGGCGAGAAGCTCAGCAACCTGGAGGACCGCACCGCCAGAATGATGAACGAAGCCGAACAGTTTTCCTCCAACGCCCGAGAGCTGATGATGAAGAACAGGGACAAACGATGGTATCAACTGTAGACCCGCCGATTTCATTTTGTTTCTCTCTCTCTCTCTCTCTTCCTCAGTATATATTCTCCCTCGCCCTTTCTCTATCTCTCTTTTGTTCTCTCTATATATCTCTATCTCACACAAATATACACAAATGTATTAAAAAAAGTCACCCCCACACAAAAAAATCATACTTAAGGATCTTCCAAATAAATTTTCTCTGTTAACAGATTTCGCTTTAAAAATATAAAAATAAAAATAATTTCGCTGAATATTAATATAATCTTGTTGCCATCTAAGTAAACGTAATATTAGGTATTAATTTAATATTAACATGGTTAAACATAGTCTAATATATTACCTATATATAGGTGTGTACATATATATATATTATATAATACAATAAAATTCATCGATTAAATATTATTTGCGATTTTAGTCGACCGCGAGAAAATAATACCATTAAGTCTATACGGAGACATAATATACCATCCCATAAATATTATAATAATAATATTACGTCGAGGAACACAACTAGCGTCGTACGTAACCTGTTTATTCGTTTAATGCGTTTAATTTCAACCGGAGTATTATACCACTCGTCGATAATATGTGTATATGTATGTATGTATGAGTGTGAGTACATATACATTATATAAATTGTGTAATTATTATTTTAAGGATAATAATAAATACTCATTAGTCATTTGATTGCATATTTATATTGTATTATTCTTAATATAAGATTAAATCAACATAAAAAAACGGGCTGTGGTTGTAGTAATATAAGTAAGGTGTATTTAAGTCATAAAAATATTAAATTGATTAATTAAATATATTTAGAGAGATAATAATTTTGCGGTTCTTACCATATGTGCTTATAAGTTTATAACGATCGTGAGTAAGGAAAATCAAAACTAAACAAAAAAAATCTCAATAAGTATTTAGATGTCAATGCCCGTCAGACGTGTTTTTAAGAGCATATTAATACCTATGCTATAGGTTACACGAAAATCGTACAATAAATTACCATCCTGCGTGTGTGTGGCAGACCGTTTGTGATTATTATGAAGCGATTTGTGCCTTAAAACTAAGATACTATATAGTATATATGTATATAGTCTACGGTGTAATAAACTTTTTCTAGGGGACTATTAATATTATATTGTAGTGTAAATTGTTGTATTAATATTTTCTTTGATATATTTATAATCGAACGGGATTTATATAGGTGCGTTATAGATAAATGTAATAATTGATCTAATGCTAATATGGAAATCAATCATGTTGTGTTTTCACAATATTACAGCCCTTCGACATTCGAACACGTTATTATAGAATATTAAATATTATTCGTATATCATATAGAGCGTGAGAAAAAAGAAAACCTCCCCCAGCCTGAGTAAGTGCTGCTTTACTTCAACGAAAGTCTCTACCTTAAAAATCGTTTTCCCATATTATAAAGTCTAGTCAAATAACATAAACGCCACGTAACTGTATCGAGAACGAGTGCATATAATATTATATACGACCAAATCATACAGAATTCGTTTGGGGATCAATACGTTTTAGCTTATATATACATATTATATATTTATATCTATTTATTATTATAATAATTATAATTATTACACTTGTAGTTGTTATATTTTTTCCAAAATATTTTCTCATTTCGTACTTGTTTTTCTATAGACTATAAAATAAAATTATATTATGATATAAGTAAAATAATATTAGTTTTAATTTAAGAATATATATTGATAACTACACTTATGTGACTTTAATTTTACATTTCCCTGTAATGATGATTATATTTATGTGTACGGTATGTGCATCAAATATGGCTCTTGAAGGTTCTCGTCTCGGGTCTGTCGTGGTTTTCACTCGACTTTCGTCATCATGCACTACAAGAATGAAAAATATTTGCCGGCGGCGAATTGCGTGTTATTTTGTTTTCACCAAATAAAATATTGTTGTACGTATCATATATTTTTTTTCATATGTATGGCCAGAAATTTTAAATCAACCCGTCTTAACCGTTACGTAATAACAACGTATACCTATCGTATTATATTTACTCCCACGCGGCACATTATACACGATTAAAAAAACATTTTTTCCGACATAATGCAATTTCCATGCCCGTGCACAATAAAACACACGCGCACATTATAGCCGAACAATTTTCCGCCATAATAGAACCGCCTGTCAATGTTTTAATTTCTTGTGCGTAAGTAATTTTTCCGACGAGTAATTTTTCACGATTCGCTCGCGCGACCCTTTCCTACTCTCCGGCTCGACGACGCCACCATCGGTGCCGGCATCTGCAGCTATGCCGGGATAGGAAAATCGTTATTGATAGAAATTTGGCCCCGCAGGACCCGAACGAGATGCAACAGACAAGCCATAAATTACCTACCGGAAAAAAAATAATAATAATAAGAATGTGATATGAAAAAAAATTATATATATATATAAACAAAATCCACTGGTTAAAAATTATTCTGTTGACACTTATTGTTTTTGTTTTGTTTTTTTATATACCATTTTAAAATATATATGTGCATGCATATATATATATATATATTTATATACTTAAGATCGATTATTAGACATAATATATGTATTTACATAACAATATATATATATATATGTGTGTGTGTGTGTGTGTCTACGTGTATGTATAAATTACGTTTAAGGTATTAACCAGATTTTTTTTCTCGATTTACATAGATTTTAACGTTGTACGCCAAAAGGCAGATGCGTACATTTTTATCATTTTGCACCACGCCTGAAAAAATAAAACATATACCGTCGTCTTATGTTTGCATAATTCGTTGAAAATCGGAGTAATATTTCACTCGGAGATCTCCCGTATAAACTTATTACATGTGTACTTTGAACCAGGAATCCCGTGTATTGAATATGATAATATATTTCGGTTTTTCGAGTTCAACTGCAGCGCTTTCTTGATTGAAAACATAAATTAAAAAGACAATAAAAAATGCGAGGGGAAAACGTAAATAAAAAAGTAAATTTTAGAATTTTTAAAATATAAGAAAATAATGATTTAACTATTAATATTATTATTCTCTATAATCCAGTCTTCCTATAACTAGACATATTATTGTAGGCTAACAATTTGGGCAATATTTCCATCCCCTCCATCCTTCCCTTCCCTCGTTTACATTGCTAACACCTTCACTCGAAGCAACCGTAACCACATATGTTATATTATACAATGTACGTACGTTGTACATGTATGCGTTTGTTTTGTATTACCTATATATATATAATATTATACATTATTATTATTATTATTATTATTATTATTATTATTATTATTATTATTATTATTACTATTATTATATTATGTTTATTTGTGAAACAATATTAAACGTTTAGGCATGTTATTGATCTGATTTTCGAGTATTCGTAATAATAATTATATTATATAGTTAAAAAGAAAAAAAGATAAAAAATATTTTAAAAACTACTCGCGTACTTCAAAACACTTAAATAACAATTATGTACGTCATCGATACCTTTATATATCTTATATAATATATTATGTACCTATATATTTATATTGTATAAGGTATGTTAAATGTTTATTATTATTACAATTTTTTGTAGTCTATTGCGCGAAATTAAATAATGAATATAGCTCCGCGTTATTTTATTTTTAACCAAAAACATAATATACCAAATAATATTACAGTGATATATATTATATTATATAAATACATGTTATACATTAAGGATAATCGTCAGACGGTCCCAATAATAGACGTAGAGATGAGGCGTCTGTGTAGGATTTATATTTTAAATAAATGTAAAAACAAAAAAAATATATAATAATAATAATAAATTACTATACAAACGTTGGACTTTATAACAATTTATTAAGATACGATAGATAATATGGAAAATCAAAGGAAAATATGGCATTTGTGTTATGTATAAAAAAAACATAAAAGCGAGTTATAGCTGATGGTACCCGTCATAATATAAAAAATAATAAATACTTGTATTTGATTAGTATGTATGTATGATAATAATTATTAAAATGTTATAGCTTCTAAATGTTTATGTTTATTTTTTTTTTTTAAGAATGTAATTGAATTTTTTTAAGTATAAATATCAATTTCGTTTGCTAACAATATTATATTATTGTAATGTTAGTATTAGGTAAAAACCTAATATAATTTTATCGACTACCGTTAAAACATTCTATTGTTTGTATAATAAAAATGCAAAACTATTATTTTAAACAGCATTTTTTTTTTTTAATTTTATTATTGATCTCACCAGTATACGACTAATTTGTATACCTGCTAGTACTTGAATATTTAAAATGTTATTGTATGACTTACAGTAGAAATATTTTGTTTCAACATCGCAGTAATGTTATAGCATGGTATCAGCCTATAAAAGTGATCAATTTTATTTTATTTCCGGTCAAAACAAGACATTTTTAAATCCTAATGTGGTCCATTATAATATTAGGACTTATCTCAAAACACCGTCGTTATATGGGAAATTATAAGTCCATCGATATTTTGTGGGACTTGAGCTAAATTTAACCGTGTCAACTTTATGATAACAGGAGTGAAAACAGCCAAGTCAGCTGGTATGCGACTTTAATGTTTCAAGCCTGTGTGTTTTTAATAAAATAGTATTATTGCCGACACCCCGAATTGATCGATGAAGGACGACGCGCGATTAATTATCACTCTTGCTCTCTATCTCTTGTGCAGTCACACATAACCCCCCCCCCCTCCAAAAAAAAACCTGAACATTTTACACCTAATTAAGATATAGTATGAAAAAATAATATTTAGCCCCTTCAAATCTCAAACCTAAAATGTCATTTGCACTTTTGCACATATTATACAGTTTAAATAAAATACTTGGTAATCGCGCAACGTTCGGTACTTTTGGAATCAGTCCAAAACGCGTCTCACAATATTCGGCAATGTCATAGCTCACAAGAATTCAGCATGCCTTTAAGTGTCCGAACCAATAATCACCGTTCTTCGTCTTCGTCTCAGCCCAGCATTATCGACGCAAACAGCATCGATCGATTGGGTAAGTACAAGTGATGACATAAATAATTATTATAGTAAAATTTTTAAAATGTACATCGACGTCTCAACGGCAAGACGAAAAAGAAGGACAAACTCCAATAATTATATAATTTTCTGTTTTTCGAATATCTGCAGAAGCGGTTTTAAAGAAAATATATGTTCGGCGAAAACGGCAGCAGTACTCAATTTTTTCGAGAACTTTGTAATTCATAGAAAATATTAAGATTTAAGACCTAACAATTATTAACGATGAACAAATAGGTAAACTAATTTGATGCCGTGAATAATAGTTGTACAACTGGTATTACGACTCTCTTCTCATCCATGTAGGAGATCGAACTTTATATTAATACAAATTACAATAATACATAGGTACCTAAATATATGTCTCGAAACTGTTAATTAGTACTGTTTACGATCTCAGAGTCCTTTAGCCTTTACTACGTTTATCCTAAATAATAATAATGTTTTTGTAATCGTTAATAAGGTTGTATAGAATACGTCTGAATATCCATTGTCCGCTGAGCAGGTTTCGACTAGAAAATTCACTTTTGGAAGAAAACTTTAAAGTCGATCTCGCGTCGACCTCTCGCGTATTGTTCCATGATCGCCGCGCAGTAATGCCAACACGCCGGGGTCAAACCAAGGGTTTGAGGAATACCTATGCGTAGATCCGTGGACCGGGAAAGACAAATATATTACGGATATACGACGCGAAATCCCGCCACTTTTGTCATTCAATATGATCAATATGACAATATTCAAAGTTGGCCCTTACGATATCAACTCACTGGCCCGCTGAACATTTCCCGAAGATTTTCGAAACACCACTGAGACGAAGGCGACGAACAGTCCTGACCGAAGAAAATGGACGACTCCGAACGGACGAAAGTAATATTATAATACCATACTATAGATAATTTTATTACGACGAGCATAGATGTTACGAGATTCTATTTTCGTGGATTATTTTTCTCGCACTGTTCTGTGCACTCGGAGCGCCGTTACTTACTTTTCATTTGAATTATGAACGCAAAGCATATTGTTATTGTCATCGTATATTATCATCGAGTAAGATACGATTGTCGAATCGCAGTTAATAAATATTATAATATTTTATGTGGAGATGGAAATTCGTAGAAAAACGTTTACCCAAGTTCTTGGAAGTAAAACCGAAACGACAACGACAAACATATCACGTTACGTAACCGTTAACCAGAATATCATACAATATAATGATATGATTATACCATACCATAAGGAAGATTTTTTTTTTAATTTCGAATCATGCGTGAGCTATAACTTAAAATGACTTTTGTGTGGAATGTGTGATTTGGCCAAGATTATCAATAATTATCGCATCAGTACGTCATGAGAATCAAACAAGGCCACCGCTGTCCAGTGCACAGTTCACAAAATAGGTACATAAGAAATAGCACCTACCATTAGTATATATTTATAATTGTACTTATTAAGACAAAGTATTACTTTGAGAATCGCATTTAAACTGATAATATTTATAGGTAAAAATGATACTAAAAAAAATTACTAAATAATTGTATGAAATACATATAATATAAGTATATAAATTATGTAATACACTAGCTATTTCTCATGCGTATAATATCTATTGACTATTATAATATGTTTATATAATAAATTTATTATGTATATAAAATAGTAAATTACAATTTATTTGCTTATTATATATTAAATTGAATACGTAGAACATATATACACCTCGAGTTATTGAACAATTTGAGTTAGGTGCATACTACATATGTCATATATACAATATACTATACTATAATATCAAAACAACATATTCATTTTTTAAATATTTAACACAAAATAAGCTTACCTTTCACTTGTTCTTTCCCAATACTCTTGAAATGAAAACATAGGGGACTAAATTAAAAAATAAATATCACTAGGTGTCTATGTTGAAGCAAGGTATTGATTCATTTTTTGTTTTTGGAACAAAAAAACGTTTTTAAGAAATCGAGAACCACACGGAACAATTTTATCGGTTTTTAAAATTTAAATATGAGTATATATATTTTACCGCTTTGCCTACAATTTATATGCGAGCGACACTCACCTCGAATATTCAAAAGAAAGGTTCTTAGGAACAGTGTAATATTATTTAAAACTCGAATTGTTATACTTACAATTATAAATATATTTATTAGATAAACATAAGACATCCATGCGCTAACCAGTAACAACCTTGTTCGTATAATATATCGTTATATCTAAGTTAGACCACCACGCGTTTCACTGTGTATACCAGTCAAACCATTATCCCCATGTATCGGGGATGTAATATTATCCCAGAAA